TTAATCATAGGAAACAAACTGAGGGTTGCTGGAGGGGAGAGGGGTGGAGGGATGGGGTAACTGGATGAAGGACAATAAGGAAGGCACGCAATGTAATGAGCACTGGGTATTATTTGAGACTGATGAATCACTGATCTCTACCTCTGAAACCAATAATACATTATATGTTAATTAATTGAATTTAATTTTTAAAAAATTTAAAAAACAGAAAAATCTCTTCTATTTTATCTTTCATAATGGCCAAATTTTTAAGAACTAACTCTAATGCTGCTCCATTATAAAGTATTTCTATCAGAAGATATTTCTTCTTTCTCTGAGCTTTCACATCATTTAATTTATTTTTAAAAAATAGTAAGAGATCCTCTTTCAATTATGCTGTCCACTGAAAGAAAGCCAATCTCATGGTAGGTTAGTCAATGCCTTATTCATTGTCTCCCTGAGGACTATAGCCTGGTACAGTGTTTCAGATTGCTCTGAAGAACTGCTTCAAAGCTTGTGAGCTACAGGGGATTATAGATACAAAAGAGAAAGGGTACATACCCTTTGTTCTCCAAATACTTGCACATCACAAGTTATAATTCAGTTGTAAAAATATATATACAGTTGTAAAATGTAATACAGTTGTAAATATAATACAGTTTTTAAAATAATGGTTTTTCAGCTTTCTAAATAGATACAAGAAAGACCCTTAGGTCATCTTTTTTTTTTTCCTTTAGGTCATCTTAATACATTATGTTTCTATTATATCTGTTTAAAAATATTGTTTGCATGCCTCTACTTAACTGATTTTCCAGTTCTTCCTGTTCTTGATTTCTCCTTGAGATCACCTGAGACAATCACACAAGGCTGACATAGTCACCTACTGCAATTTTAGTGCACAGTGCATCACTGGGTATTTATTTTTACTTTTTATTCTAGGTCTTAAATTCTAAGAGCTGTGAGGACAAACGCCCTACTGACTTAAGACATTAACATGGGTTGGGTGTAGAGGAGGAGAATGTTTCAGAAATGGCAGAACCAAAAAATGCCAATTTATAGCTCTGAACTTTTGCCTGATACTAAGGCAAAGTTTACTTAAATGCTTTTTTTTCAAATTTAAATGTCTTTTTTCCCCCTTCTTTGCTTATTCTCACTCATGTTTGCCCTGAGGAGAACATAGTACACAAGGCTGGGAGAAAATTTTGCAAATGTGGTGAGCCTAACATGGGACCAGATCATGTGCTGTATGTTGTGAGAAATATAAAAGAATTGCAGATAACCATGAACGATTTGTTTCAGAGTTCCTCGGTTTGAAGAAGGATCACATAATAATCAGGGTTAATTATGAATTCACAATGAAACAGCATAATGAGATTTTTTTAAGTCAGGAAACTGACTCAAAATCAATGTCAGAACTTAGTTTTCTGTGCTGGAATTCTCTCTCTCTCTCTCTCACACACACACACACACACTAGAAATAAATGCACGGAACCATGCAGAATTAGGACTTTACTGGAAAGATGTGTAAGCTTTGCAATCGCAGACTTGAATTTGCAAAGGCGTAGATTGGTTTTAAACCTGTAAACCAGGACAAGAAAACCTTCCGTGCGGTATTAACTACTGAGCAGAAATGTTGGGGGTTTTAACTACTGTAAACAACAGTTTTTCTGGACCAGTGCGTAGTGGAGATTTTTTTTCTTTTTTCTAAGTGAGCCAAATTTTCCTTAAGTTCCCTCCTTTTTTTTTTTTTTTTTTTTTGTTTCTCTTCCTTTGTCCCTGTCCCTTCTCCCTGTCTCCACACAGTGACTGCTGGGATGGCGATTGGGCGGCTGGAGAGGCCAGGACTCAGTTCCCCTGCCCTAGTCTGAGCGTAGTGGGTGGGACTCCAACACAGAGAGCTGATTTTCCAAAGCAGGTTTCTATGCAGTTTTCCGACACTTTGGCTGCGCTAAATCCGAGGCAAAAGGCAAAGAGCAGCCGGGGAGCCGCCCCAGGCGACCGACACCTGCAAGGGGGAGAGGGGGCGGGGAGCGTCACGAGCATCGGCGGGACCCAGACCCTGAGTGACCTCACCATGGTGCGTTTTAGTCGCTACTTTCTTTTTCAGTCTTTCGGTGCTGGGAAGGGGAAGGATTCTGAAAAGAACTTGAATGCCGTAGGGAAAGGGATTATAAGGGATCCTTTGGAGTCATCAGAAGAGAGAGAGATAACGGAGACAGGGCGGAACCACGGCCAGAGCTGATTGAGTGTTTGGGAGCAGAGCGGGAATCCGGTTTGCCAGGCACGTCGCGTCCCGCCCAGCTTGTTGAGCAGGTAGACCGGAGTGAGCCCAAGTGTGAATACCGCTGTCGCATGTTCGGTGGCTGCGCCCGCGCCCCGACTGACAGGTGCGGTTGCAGGGTCCCTCTCCCGCTCACCCTCCTGTCCTTGACTCCCACTCTCTCTGCGTTCGCAGTGGGGATTTGCCAGGCGCACACTGGAGCTGCCGGAGATCCGGAAACGCAGCCGCGAGGTCTGCGAAGCCAGCAAGTAAGTGGTCTTTGAGTGCCCACGCGGCTCGGGGCTCCCCAGAGAGGCAATCCTTCTTCCCCCGGCCCCTGGCCTGGGCTCATCCCCCTTCCCCTCCCTAGGAAGACTTCCGCGCGCTCCCAGCTGCTCAGCCCCTGGGGGCCGGGGGCCGGTTCCCACGCCGGGGAGGAGCGAGGGAGCAAAGGAGACGGCGCCCGGGGGGCCCGGCTCAGGGCCCGGGGGAGCTGCGGGGCCCGAGGGAAGAGGACTGACGGGGGTGGGCGCCGGGCCGCGCAGCGCCCGCGGCCGCGCTCGGAGAGCCGGGGCGTGAGAACGCGCGGGGCGCGCTGGGGCCGCTGCTCTCCCACGGCCGGGGCGCCGGGGCCTCGGGCGCACGCGAGGGCCAGCTGCGGCAGCAAAGGGCCGCCGGGACCTGAGAGCCGGCCGGGGCTCGAGGCCGCGCCCGGGCTTCACCGCAACTTCACCCCGCCGGCTGCTGCGTGGGCGAGCCATTCGCCCTTTTAGAGAGCAAACAGCTGCGATCGCTCGATTGCTTAGAGAGAGCATCCAGCAAACTTCCAGCAGGGCTGCTCGGGGCTGGACCCAAGAGTAAGTGTGTGTGTGTGTGTGTGTGTACGTGTGTGTGTGTGTACGTGTGTGTGTGTGTGTGTACGCGCGCGGTCTAATTTGGCAGACCAATTTTCTGTTCTCATTATGACTGCAGCACTTGGGGAGATGGTGAGCAGGGGATCACAACCGTCTCTGCGCGTCGCGTCTGTGCTTGCAGCCTGTGCTCGCCGAGCTGGGCAGCCTCACAGTGGCATTTGTGTGAGGGGCTACCTTGCATCGTGGTCATGTGATTTCAGGCTATGGATTTCGTGCGTCTTTCTTTTGCTCACTTATTTCCTACGGTTCTTCATTTTGCAATGGATGAAGTTTGTATCTTCTGAAGTAATCCAGGTTGAACCTCTCCCTTAATGGTAGCCGGTCAGAGGCACCTTGTTTCCAACATACTGAAAACTCATTTGAGTTTTAAATACAACAGGCCATATTGTGTGTGTGTGTGTGCGCGCGCGCGCGCGCGCATTTATTTTGTATCAATAGGGATTTTTCAGGGTCTTCTGATGGTGATATCGTTAAATGTCTACCTACTTACTTGAACTAGTCTTGGTGAGAACATCATTAACCCTCTGGTTACATACATAAACGTCCAAGCGCTTAATGATAGAGACTTTTATATCTTAGTTCATAATGTGGAAGTAATCTGTTGCTTTTCCTAAAATGACTATATTTCTCTTCTGGAGTGGTCATGTCAGGTGCTATACTATGAAGAGTGGTAAAAAAATCAATAACAATAAAAATATAACAACAATATGAAAATCTAAAATTCCAAAGCAAACTTTAATATGTCAGAAAGCTGTATAAGCTTTATTATTCTTTGAGTGAGATTGTCTGTGTAGTCTGTGTTCTGCTAAATTATTAAACGACTGGGTCGGTAGATCTTCTTCAAGGAATCATGAAGCCCCTGATATTGTATTTAAACATTTGAGTCGCTGCATTTTTAGGGCGATAGTCCAGAGTTCTCAGATATCCAAAGGGATCTTTGACCCAATAGAAAAATAACCACAAAGTTAAAATATATGAGCTTTACTTTTTCTTGTCAAAACAATAGGCTTTCTACGTAAAGCCTGCAGACATAAAATGGTAGGAAAATTTCTAGAATAACTCTTGTTATAATAATTAAACATTTCATATAAGATAGGCCCACTTGTATGTTTTTAAATGTATCAGGAATCTTAGGTAGGGGAACTTTATTTAGTAGAAATTTGTGATGAATACATAGGTACGTTCTGTTTCTTCTGCTGTAAGATCTCTTTCTAGTATGACACAGAAAATAAAAATTATATTTTTCACTATTTGAAACCCAACAGAAATATAAAGTACTTATACTTGGTATGGCGTTTCAAAGTGTGTGAATATAAATTATCCCTTAAAAGCCATGTTTTTAGATGTCCACGTATAGTATATCTAAGATAGTTTTCTGTCATTTAGAGAATGTGGAAGAAAATATAAAGGTATTTGACTTATATCTGGCAACACCAAAGGAAAAAGAAATGTGGGAAACTTCATAAGTCTTAGTCCTTATATTTCTTATAACTATGGTTTATGAAACAATCTTATTTTAAGGCATTATTTAGGAAAAACTGTTTTAATATGGCACTAAAAACTAAAGAAATGATAACTGAAGTGAAATTATTTCTATTATGAATATATCAATAAAATATTTTTGTGCCTAAATGTCAACTATTATGTCATAGATATTTTTCAAACAAAAAGACTTAAATCTTTAGTTAATACCAGGTTTGTTTGTTTTTTATAAATTAAGATTGGATAACCTTGAATTTTGTCAGAAATCATATCAGGGAAATTAAATCCTGTATTTACATTTGTAACAATTAATAATGACTGTAGGGGGGAAAATATTTATTTTTTTAATAGTATCAGTACCGAAAAAAATCTCTAGTTAAAAATCAAATTAGCCTCAAGAATTAATTTCTCCAGGTAAGGAGAAGTAGAAAGCTAAAACGGTATTTGAGTAAATCAAAAAATATGTTACTGATGGGAAAATTTTTTGGAGGAAATTAGTTATTGAGAATATTTTCTGTATGTCGGATTTGCCAGCAAGTTGCTTAGCTTCTCTTTTTTTGGCCAGGATAAATAACTTTTATGGCACTGATTTTTATACCATTTAATTATAGATATTCACCCAGGCTACTTTTCTTAAATACTACTAATTACTTTTCTGTATATTTGTAGAAAGAGATCTTTTTCTTCGTAAAATATCAATAATTTTAGTTTTTAGTCTCTAAACCACCTAGATTTATTCAGTAGGTATTTGTTAGGTGCCTATGCAATAGTTTTGAGTATTTCTACCTTGACCTGATACAAGAAGAGTTTTTGACAATTTTTAGGTTTTTATATGAACAAATTTGGCTGTCCATGGACTACTCGACTTATCTGGGGTTGGAATAATGTTTGGCTATCCTGAATCACATTTGCTTTTTTTATTTCTCTCAAACCGTTTAGAGGTGTCTGACCTATTTCATATTTTTTTCTCTCTCCTGGGTTCAGACCAACAGATTTTTTTTTTTT